GCCGGCCCTTCTCCTCACTCCTATCCAAGATGCACGTCCCAATCCCTTTAAAAACACTCTACTCCCCACCCAGCTCTGCTGGAGCCTGGCCAGGAGTCACATTCAAGAGAATGGAAACCAAGTACCATGCTAACTGGCCGTGTGGGATCGCCCTGGCCTTCCACAAAAGCTCTTGCCACAGTAGTTTCTTCTTAACTCTTTTCTTAATGATTGGGTTACTTCTAGAAATTAGAGGTTTCCCTTATAGCCAGAAACTTAATCTTAAACCAATCCTCACACTCACTGGGAGGGAATAATTTTCACCTGTTCATGTGCCTTGCCAATCTGGTTTAAACTAACAGTAACGGAAAAGTGTGGATACAGAAACAAAGAAATTGACCTCAAAGGTGCCTGAGAAACCCTCCCTGCCAGCTAGTTTGTGCAGTGCCAGAAGGTGCAAGGCAAATTGCTGCGTGAGAAAAGACAGACCTCAGTGGTCTTATCCAGTGTTGGATCCTGCATGCTACAACAATGGCCTGCCTGGCAAAATACGCCCATGGGTCACACAGCGGCATGCCAGTTACAGGGTAACCAGCTGCAGTTTCTGCTGTGCTATAAGGCCTGCTTCAGAACAGGAATTTCATACCTCGCAAACCTGGTCAAGCTAACTAAGCCGAGAGCAAGGGAAGCCTGGGACAGTCAGAACGACGCCTCAGATCCACATCCACAAGAATGAGCTGCAGCGTTGACAACAGCTATTGACCAGCTGACAAGTTGGCTGTGACAGGCTCCTCATTCTCCCTAAGCCCTCTGCTTCCAAAGCTGGGAACGCCACCAAAACACTGCACAGGCCTGGGGCACGGTTCATCTGCTTTGTTCCAGCCCATGGGCTCATCGTCAGCTCTACCGAATTCAGCTGTTTCTAAGTGGGCAGCTAACTAAAGGGAACTTCTTGATTTTTTTGTTGTTGTTGCTGTTGCTAGTCTTTGCTGGTATCTATGTGTGTCTGTGTGATGCATCCCTTTGGGTGTGGGAGCATGTATGCGTGCTCCTGGGGGAGGGCAGAGGCTGACATTGCGTGTCTTCCACAACTGCTGTCCATCTTTTATTTTGAGACAGGGTCTCTCGCTGAACCCAGAGCTCACCAATAGGCTAGAATGGCCACCTAGATAGCTCCTGGGATCTGCCTATATCTCCTTCCTCAGTGCAGAAAATACATTTTATCAATTAGTCGGGGCTGAAGTCTTAATTCAGGTCGCTGTGTTTGCAAAGTTGACACTTTACCAACTGAACCATGGCCCCAAGTCCTTTTTGTTTGCTTTCTCAGACAAATGTGGAGCCCAGACTCACTCAACTCTCATGGATGCTCCTGCGTTAGCTGCCCCCAGTCCTGGGATGGCAGTCTGTGCCATTGAGGCTAACCAGAGGCAGCACAGTCACCAGAGAAAGGCACTGTGCTCCGTCAATAAGTATTTGTCGACTTCCTAGGAAGAGCAAGCATCGAGACGCGGCAGTGGCCAGCGCGTGGTGACTCCACCCTCCTTAGTTCCGGTACAGGTGAGAGCAGATGGCAGAAAAATAGAAATAAAAACCGTGAAAGCTGCTCGGGAGTCAACGATTTCTCAGCATTATGAAAAGCAATGACCTTTTCTAGTCTTGTAGAAATACATTTTTAAAAATTCGTATGACTTACCACAAATACATCAAGCAGTATATCCTCAATGTATTTATTATTGTAAGTGTGTGCAAGAATCGTGTGCATGAGTGCAGGTCCATGTATGCCACAGCACATATGTGGCAGTCAGAGGACAATTTGGTGGACTCGGTTCTGTCCCCGCCTTCATACAGGTTCTGAGGGCTGGAGCCAGGCTGTCAGGACTACGTGGCAAATGCTCTCCCAGCTGGGCCATCTCGCCAGCTCCTGAAGCTTATTTTACAAATTAAATCCCAACGGCTGAGAAGCCTCAGTCAGGAAAGTGCTTGCCACACAAGCATGGGAACCTTGAGTTCAGTTTCCACAAACCATGTAAAACATGTAGGCATGGTGGCATGTGCTTACTGTTAGCATCCAGACGAACCTGGCCCTGCGCCCATGAGAACTTCCAGAGTGTGTCATGCCCTGCTTCACATCTGTGTGCAGGGCAGGCAGTACCCTGACTCCGCCTACTTCTCTCCTCTTCTTCCTCTTCCTCTCTCTGCATCTCTCTGCCTTTCTCTCCCCCTTCCCCCCCCTTATCTGAATAAAACTCTCCACTTAAAATCTGTCCATATGGTGTATCTGTCTCTCATCCTCCGTGGCCTCTCACCCCCAGGGTTTGGACTCACCCGCAGAATCCTACCACATATAATCCCTGTGCTGGGGAGACCAAACAGAAGGACCCCTAGGGCTCACTGGCCCAGCCAGTCTAACCTACTTGGTGAGTTTCAGGACAAGGAGAGACAGGACACTTTCTCAAAACCAACTGGGAGGCACCTGAGGAATTACAGTCAGTTTTTCTATGGCCTCCAAATGCCACCCCAATTCCCTGGGGCAGAAGCACTAAGGGCGGAGCTTTTGGTGGCACGTCCCTAGATGACCCAACACAAAGTCACTGAGCAGCAAGGCAAGGGTCAGAAAGATGCGGAAAAACATGCCTTCGGTTACCCTGAAACATAGCCTAGGGAGACTCTACAACAAGGAGAAGCATCCTTCCTTCTCTGGCTCCAGATGGCTTAGCACCCACAGCCCTTCAGCAGGTCTGCCACCCACTTGAAACTGTTGTTGTACCCTCCTCTGGAACCATGACATGGAATTAAGAAAGTGAATCATGTCCCTAACAAGCAACCAACTAATCGTCTTGAACTGCAGACTGTCACAAGGAAGAGCACTTCTACTGATCTCCTGCCTGCATCTGAGCCCAAGCAAAGCTCCATGGTGCCAACTGAGCTTTCAAAGGTGGCAAGAAAAGTCACAGTAAGGAATACAAGTCTACCATAGCTATTCACCTGGGCCTTCATGGGGTGGGGTCCCCTAAATCACCACGCATTGTTTATCAGACACAGGCAATTTCTCCAAATTTAATTCCAAAATTTTGTTACACAAACTGACAAACCTGGATGCCTTCCCTGCAATTTAGTTTCTCCTTCCCAGAAGATGACTCAGAGGCTAAGAGCACAGGCTGCTCTTCCAGAGGTCCTGAGTTCAATTCCCAGCAACCACATGGTGGCTCACAACCATCTATAATGAGATCTGGTGCCCTCTTCTGGTGCACAGGCAGAACACTGTATACATCATAAATACATCTTTTAAAAAAAATCTCAGCCAGGTGGTGGTAGAGAATGCCTTTAATCCCAGCACTCTGTGAATTAGAGGCCCGCTCCCTTTACAAAGCGGGTTCCAGGAAAGACTCTATAAAGTTATCAAGAAACCCCCTGTCAAAAAAAAAAAAAAAAAAAAAAAAACTCCTTCTCAAACATTCCACAAAAACCTGGCTGATGCTGTTGGTGACACCTGAAAGCTTGCTTGGGCTTAAGTTTTCTACTCTGCAGGGCTGGGAATCCCACACACAACCTCAAATATTCTAGGCAGACACTATCCAGCACTGAACAGCCCGAGCCCTCCCTTTGTACACACTACAGTAGTGACGGGAGGGGGGGGGCAGAAAGGGTGGCGATCTGTGGTCCAGGTCCCTTGCCACACATTAGGAGATTGATGAGGGACAATTTCCCTTTTGAGATTACCTCTAGGGAGTTTTCTATCACCTCTCTCTTCCTCGGTATCCAATGACAGAAATTTCTCCTTTTGGCCTACTAAATTCTCCCACCCACTGTGCTGCCTCCCCCTCCTCCCACTGAGCTAAGTTTCCCATAAGACACCTGTGCACTCCATTGCTTCCATCTCCATCAGAATGATCCCTGCATCCCCAGAAAGACCAGCCTACCTTTCTTAGTTCTCCAGCTTAGGCCCTTTTTATTCCCTCATTCCCTGCATTTTTCCTTTTCTTCATAAGCTATCTCTGCTTCTAGGTCTAACCGCGTGTCTCTTGGGGCAGTCCTTTGCCCTGAGACATCTGTGCTCAGCATTGAAAGCGCTCTGAACCCAGGGCCCTACTGAGGACTTCCCCACTGTTTCTCTAACCTCCAAGCCTAGTTAAAAGCCTCTTTTCCTCCATCTCCTTTCCTTCTAGGGGATGTGAGCATTTTCAGCTGGTGTCTTTTATCTCAATCCTCAATGAAATTGCCTTCAAGCTTCCTTCTGAGTCAGTTTTAAATTGCTGTTAATGAGACTAAGAACTCAAAGGGGACCCGCTGTTGACCCCTGATCTCTGATAGAATGTTCCTGCCCTCACTTGCAAGGCTTGCTCAAACTGTATCTTCTCTCCACCGCCCTCCGCCCCAAACACACACCAGTTAAAACTTTCAACTCTTTTTTTTAAAACGTCTATAATTTACTATGCCAACTATTAACCCATAGTAAGAAGCTCCAAGGTTGCAGAGATTTATCTGCCCTCTGCTGCGTGCCCAAGGTCTAGAAGCCTGAACTCATCAGGCCAAGTGTTTAAAAAACATTTGAGAAGAAAAGTTATTCACTTAACAAGGGCTTGTTGGGCACCTCTTTCCCTGCAAAAGACATCACACTGCCTCCCGCCTTCAGAAAGCACTGAGAGGACACTGGATCGTGTTAGGGGTGCAGGACTGAAAACTACGGACAATGTGCACAGGTCAAAGAGTGTGCCCAACCGTTCAGAAGAAAAGGCTTGAGCATGGGCTTGATCCAACGGGTCACTGACGGGCAGAGCGCCAAAGGTTTCCTAGATTCCCTTAAAGGTGCCGCGACATTCCACTTTCCAGGCGGAGAAGTTACTAAACCAGAGATGCAAATTCCGGCCTCTTCCCAACCGTCTTGATATTTAAAGAGAAAGAATCATACTAATTTCTACTTTCCTGCAGCAGCACCCCATTCCACGCGACCTCTGCACAACCGCCCTCACCCCCAATGCTCCCCATGCCGCCCCAGCCCAAAAACCCGAAATGCTTCCCACCTGCTCCCGGCGTGCCCCGCGGTTCCTCCCCACGCGTGCGCAATAAACTCCCTCTTGAGTACGGGAGGGGCTGGAGCTCCGGCCTAGGATGGACACGCCCCCGAAAGCAGATCCGACTTCTGATTGGCTGCAGGCGCTCGCCCGAGCTCGGTAGGAACGCAGGGACAGAGCTTTTAAAGGCGCTACCGGTGCACGCAAGAACTTGAGGACTGCCTGTCTGCACTTGCTCCCGCGCTTTCGCCATCCAGGTCACCTCGCCAGCATGTCTCAGGTACTGCGCGTGCCCTGCCGGGCTGCGAAGGTGCAGTGGTTTTGGGGAAATCAGTTCGCCGGGAACCCCGCGGGGTATCTTTCCCCCAACCACCCCTCCTCCCGGATGCTAGGCTTCTGTTCTGGGATCCGAGCCCAGCTCATAGCCTGGGGAGCGGAACTTTTTCCCTTGCAGATTTCTGAAACTGCCACCCACGCCGGAACTGCTGGAGAGTTGCGGGTGGGCTGGACTCCCGAGTGAAGCAGGCACAGGGTCCTCGAAAGAAAGATGGGGCAAAGAGAGGATGAAGGGCAGAGAAGATTGAATCTCATACTGGGAAGGACCGGAGTGGAACAGTGGGGCACTCGTGGAGGCCCTGACTGGGGAACCTGGAGGTCGGGGGGCAGTAATTAACCTTGTGCCTGGCTTGCCCTTCTACAGAAGAGATGCGACTAGATGAGGTGGCCCCGAAGCCTTTTCCTTCCCTGTTTTGGGACCCCTGTCCGGGACCGATTCCCTGGAGCGTGATTCCTGGCTCCTCCCACTTGCTTGTCCCTAATCTGGGCACTGGGACAGAGGTCACCGCTGAACTCCAGGCCCCAGTAGGAAGGGACCAGTGGGCGCCTGACCCTGGATTCCACTGCATTCATGGCCTGAACCCTGATCGACTGTTTTCATCACTCCACGTTTCCCCTCAATGCCCCGTCTATCTCCGCTGATTATAGGGGGAACCCCCAGCAATTGCTGGATTTGAGCCAGCGGTGGTCAGGCAGTTGGGCAGAAAAAAATTTAAGGGCTTGTACTTCCACTGTAAGTCAAGTCTATTCCCGGCTCTTGACACAGTGCTGTAACTGCACAAGCGGACAGGTGGGCCTTTGCCGAATCTTGGTGCCAGCAGAGTTTGCGAGGAGTGTTGCCTTCCCTCCCCCCACACCCCTAGACCGCTCCCTCTCAGATATCCACCCCCATCCCGTTCCTCTCCCTCTCTCCCAGGCTGAATTCGACAAAGCTGCCGAGGAGGTGAAGCGCCTCAAGACTCAGCCAAGTGATGAAGAGATGCTTTTCATATACAGCCACTTCAAACAAGCCACCGTGGGCGACGTAAATACAGGTATGCCCAGCTTCTCATCAGAGCAGGCCGAGTCGGCTCGGCAGCCCAGGAGTCTGAGAAGCTTACTTTCCAACCGCCGGAGGCCCTAAGATCAAAGCTGGGAGGTCCACCTGCAAGACCCTCTTCCTAAACTTCAGTCTGGTTTTGGAAGGACTTTACCTATTTCAGCATCTACTGTGAAGGAAGCAAAGGTCCCAGACAGGAAGCTTGCTCTAAGCCCTCTTGCTCAGCGGTAGCTTTATTGAGCCTACTGTTCCCATTAGGTGAACAGGGTCATCGAGCACTTGGCAGCCACCCCAAAGCCTAATAGATGAGCAGTTGGAAGTGGTGCTGGCCAAAGTCTGCACCTTCTAGATGACTTTTCCCCCTCTAAGGATCTTGGTGCAGACTTTTGTGCAGGGCCGGAGCATGTGTATGTGGGAGCCAGAGGACAGCCTGGAGTAGTGTTTCCACAGGCACCGTCCACCTCCCCCAGGGATCTGCCTGTCTCTACCTCTCCAGCACTGAGATTATAACACAGTCTGCCTTGTGGCCCCCTACCCCACCCCATTTTTTTTCCACATTACTTCTGGGACTGGAACTCAAGTCCTTATACTTGCAAGCTAAGCCCTTTGTTGGCTGACCTATCTCTGTAGCCCTTTGGTACAGATTTTGAAGCTATGTTATGGATTACCTTGGTCTATAATATTGTTTCTGCCGCTGCCTTGGGCTGTGTCCTGAGAGAGCAACACAGTGTGTTCTAGCAAGAACTCATGAGGGCATAGAAGGGAGTGTACCCCTCAGCCACCCACCAAGTGTGGCCTCCAGTTCCACTGGGCTGGAGTGGCAGGCCAAGCAGGTCAGAGCAGAGAGCTTATGAGCATCCAGGAAGAAGATAACGGGAAGCCGGGCTGCTTTGCTGCCAGATAGTATTTTGTCACAGCCTGGCCTCTGGCCAGCCTAGAGGTACTTGAGCATCAGACTGGCTTGGAATCTATCACTCCCTGAACAGGAAACTGTTGTCTCTTTTCGGCTGCACTGTTCACTACAGCGAAGACTAGCAACTTGTGGCTATCCAAGTTTTAGCTGCAAATGGTTTTACCTAAGCAATGCGCAGAACAGTCTGTAGCTGCGTGAGCTGTGTTTCAAGGGCTCGGTAGCCACGTGGCGCAAGTGGCTTCTGAGTGAAGTGTTGGGAGGACCAGCGAGACGGCTAGCAGGCAAAGTCTTGCTGCCACACCTGGTGAAAGAACTAACTCCCAAAAGTTCTCCTCTGGCATCGCATACACGTGCAGCCCAATATAAACATGCACTAACTGAATGTGGCCAATATACATGCCCACCGAGGGCGTCTTCCTCTGGGATGGTGAGGGTACCTTCGTAGGCATAGTCCTGTAAGGTTCCCAGGACTTTTTCCTCAGACTCTGTGCCCCAAGCTGTACGCTCAGCAGTTTCTGCTCTTAGCAATGAAATCGCTCCCCAGGAAGGATGGTGGGAGGTCTTCTCTCCCAAACCCAGATGCTCTGGAAGAAGCCTGGTCTTCATTAAGAAAAAAACAACAACAACAACAACAACAACAACAACAACAAAACCCTACAAACAACAGAGTTCAGCAGTGTGGTGGGGAAATAGGGCCAGGTGGTAAAGCCGCTGAGCGGCAGGTGGAATCTAATAGTGTTTCTTTTCAGAATTGTCTTTGGGATTTGTTGTTGTTGCTTTATCGTCGTGTGCATTGGTATGTTACCGGCATGTCTGTCTGTGTGATGACGCCAGATCCCCTGGACCTGGAGTTACAGACAGCTATGAGCAGCCACGTGGGTGCTGGGTTCTCTTTAAACACCGAGCTATCTCTCCAGCCCCCTTTTTTTCCCCAGAGTTTTTTAATTCTGAACCATGTGAATGGATGTCCGTTTGATTTGATTAAAGTACAGGTATAGTTTGGTTTGAGAATTTTTTGGTCTTTTTTTTTTTTTCTTCTCCTCTGTTTTGTTTAAGACAGAATCTCATGTAGCCCAGGCTGACCCAAATTTACTATGTGGCCAAAATAAAATGACCTTGAAGTTCTGATCTTCTGGCTTCCACCTTACAGATGTGAATCACCAGGCCTGGTTTATCTGGTCCTGGGGATGTGGAGACCAGGGTTTGGGGCATCCGGGCAAGCACTCTGCCAACGGAGCCATATCGCTAGCCTTTTTACTATTTAATATTTTTCTGGTTTTGAAACAGAATCTCACTAAGCCACCCAGTCTGGCTTTAAGCTCTCTCTGTAGACCAGGTAGGCCTTGAACTTCCGATCCTCATGCCCCAGCTCCTGGTATCACAAGTGTGTACCACCATGCCCTATTTACAGGGTGCTGGAGTTCTTCAGGGCGTTGTGCACGCTAGGGAACTACCTACAGCTACGCCTCATCCTCAGCCCCAAAGATAGTCTTATTTTTAAAGTAAAACTTCGGGTTTTAAACATTTAACTTACAGTACAGCAAAAAAAAATTAAGAACATTTTTAGCCTGTTTTTTCTCTATTTTAAATTTGAGTTACTATAAACCCATCTGGGTTTCTTATGCTAGAACCCTCTGTGTGAGACACTGGGAGTATATGCATCAAAAGAATATCTTAGTGCTGAGAAGTGATAGCACCACCTTTAATCCCAGCACACAGGAAGCAGAAGTAGGCAGATCTGTGAGTTCAAGTCCAGCCTGATCTACAGAGTGAGTTGCAGCACAGTCAGAGCCGGGGAAACCCTATAGGGGCAGGAATGATGTCTTGCTTTGCATGGGAAAGAAGCTGATAAAGCTCTCCATTAGAACTTGTAACAAATCTCCTGTCTGCCCTTCCCTTGTTGCAGATCGGCCAGGGCTTTTGGACCTCAAAGGCAAGGCCAAGTGGGATTCCTGGAATAAGCTGAAAGGTAACTTGTTCTGATCGATCTCGCTCCCTTGTGAGGCTGGCCGTTGAAGATCCTCAGTTCTGGAGTGGGGAGGACAAAGGTCAGGAAGCACACATTGGAAGCCAGCCCAGACAAGCCTAGCATGGGGAAAACTAGGCCATCTCCTTCCCTCCTTTTCTAAGAGCTTTGAATCTGAGCAGATGTGTTATCTGGAGGGGAAGGACTTGGGGACCAGCCACTGAGAAGTAGGCCAGGGAGTGACATTGTTGACATGGTCTTTGGATGTCTATTGAGTAAAGAGAGTTCTCTCGTCCACGCCTCTATCTCCCCAACAAGGCCAGGAGGTGACCCCTTAGCCAAGTGGCCATTCCCCAGTTCCCTTTCAGCTAGAAGGGCACATGAGAAAAGGGGATGAGGTAATGCATGGCCAGTGAATGGAACGATTATTCACTGAGAGCACAGGCATCTAAGAGGTGTCCAGGCTCCACTAAATCACGTGTTCCCACGGCAGCAAGCCCCAAGAGCTGGCACCAGAGTTGTGGCAGCTTTCATACCCTCGCCATCCAGTTGCTGAATAGGCCTCTGTTCTCACAGAGAGAAAGGCATGGGCTCAGGAAGGGCCCAGCACACTGAAATGCCCTGCCAGGGCCATGAGGGTCTGGCTGTCCATCTTCCACACTGTTTTCAGGCCCTGGAAACCCGGGTGCTTCACAACAAGCTTTCTCAGTCCCCGAGGACTTCTCATTACCCCGGGGGATCTAGGAAACCCAGTATGGCCGTCCCGTGGGGTGTATCCATTGTCCTTTATGCCGTGACCAGGGGACAAAGATTTGTCTCATTCCTTTCCAAGAGCCAACCGCTCTTCCTCAGTCTTCACCTCTTCTCCCAGCTTCTCTTTGTGGGGGCAGAGGGTTAGAGGGGGACTGGCTCGGAAAGCCAGCAGCGTAGCCCTGGGAGATAAGAATCCAAAACAGGTCGTCCATAAAGCTGAAGTCAAACAGTAGATAAGCAGCACCAGCAGAGTCACTGCAGGGATACTTTCCTGCCTGTCTAGAAGGCTAAGGTCCTCACTGCCTGTGGCCCCATCAGGCAAGAGCTGGGTACATCATGAAGCAGACCTCATCCCCTGGAGTGCTGTGTGTCTAGTCCTCGGGCCATCTCTGAGGTATAAGGACTGTGCTGTGTGTGTAAGAAGTAACTCCCAAATATGAAACTGGGATTGCTGCAAGTGTGTCCAACCTGTGGCCCATCACATGGGGAGATCATGTAGAGATGGTTAATTGATTAAGAGCACTTGCTGCTCCTACAGAGGACTTGGATTTGGGTCCCCAAAACCACAAGTGGCTCACAACTACCTATAACTCCAGTTCTAAGAGATCTGACTCCCTCGTCTCACTTCCTCAGGCACCCGCATGCATTGGTGCACATACATATATATTCAGGGACATATGCGAACTAATAAATAAATAAATGATAGACAGATTTTTTTAAGTAAATAGAGAACCGTGGAGAAGACACTTGACATGTAACAGTGACCTCCACTTGCACACGTGAACATCCGCTGGCAAATACAGACACATACATGCATATTACACCCAGCTGCACAAATACGGCACACAGAGTTTTTAAAAAGCCAAGGCTGCACAGCCCCACCAGCTCAGTGTCTTTCAGCAGACTGCTTCCCTGATGTAACTCTCACCGGTTCCTTCCAGGAACTTCCAAGGAAAGCGCCATGAAAACCTACGTGGAGAAAGTGGAAGAGCTAAAGAAGAAATACGGGATATAGAAGACCAGATTTGGTGGCCAGCCGCACGTGTGACCTGTGAGGACATAATGCCTTGTTTTTTTTTCTAATGTAGATGATATGGCTCTGATAAATTAGGGCCAGAATTAATCGCTGATCCTTCTCCCTGTGTAGTTTATACCTGAAATCAATTAAAAGTACATTTGTTACTTTATCTCTTTAGGCGCCTGGGCTCTTGCCTTCTGTGTGTGTGGGTGGGTGGGAGCACAACGGCACACAAGTGTAGGTCAGAGGAAAATGCCAGAGTTGGTTCTCTCCTCCTACCATGTAGGTCCCAGGGATCAAACTCAGGTCGCCAGATGTGCTTTGGAGCTGGGGTGTAGCTCGGTTTGGGAGAGTGCCGCCTAGCATGTACAAACCCATGGGTTCAGTTCCCCAGCCAGCACTGCACCAAAAAAATCAGGCATGGTTGTGCACACCTGTAATCCCAGCACTCAGGAGGTAGATCAGGCCTATCAGAAATTCAAAGCCATCTCTTGGTGACAGAGCAAATTTGAGACCAGCCTGGGCTACATGAGACCCTGAGTCATAAAAACCAAATAAAATTAAAAATACAAGAAGATGTGTTCTTGAAGCCCTTCTGCCCTCTTTCTCTACCTGGATGGAATGTGAGGGGTGGTCATGCTCGGTCCCATGTGTGGACAGCCACAGTGAGGGATGGGGTTGTACAAGTGGTGGAAGTGGTATTTCTTCCCCTGCTCCCAGCCACCTTAGATCAGGTGAGCTGGCAGGGACCTGCGCCTCCAGATGTTCTAAGAGCCCCATCGCAGGGCCACCCTCAGGTTCTAAGGAAGGCAGGATTGACGGTGTTTGAATTTGTCTGGGTCCAGAGCAATTGAGCAAGAGCGGGAGCACCCTTGGGAACAGGATGCTCCTGGTCTGAGGTCTCCAAGGGTTCCTTTCAAAACTGGGCCACAGTGGGAGCAGGAAGGCCATTCGCCAGTGTGCCAAAAACTTTCTTAGTGAGAAGAAGGGAGAGCAGGGCTTGGGGAGACCACAGAAAAGCAAGCTGGACTCCTACAGAAGGATTGCTCTTCAGAAGAAGAAAAGAGACAGCCGGCAAAGGCATGCTGCAGCTGGGCCCCTCTGTGCCCTGAACATGGGCGACTGTAGTGCTTTCCCATGTCATGGGTGAGGGTGTTAAATCTGAAAGGGTCTCACGAATACTCCAAGGACAAGTAACTCGCTCTCAAAGCCCAGGTCCATAGCCACAGTTCAGCCTCACTCTCAGAACAGCACCAAGGGCTGAGAATAACTCATGCCGGCTCCCTCTGCTGGTAACTAAACAGAGAATCAGCTTTTATTGTTTTTTGTTTGTTTGTTTGTTTGTTTTCGAGACAGGGTTTCTCTGTGGTTTTGGAGCCTGTCCTGGAACTAGCTCTAGCTTTTTAAGTGCAGTTCATTACCCTGGTTCCAAAGCCGAAGCCTTCAAGGAGACCAGAAGGAGGCGAGTAGCCTCCACTGTTGGGTGTAGTACCCTCTGTACCACAAGACAGGAGAGAGCAGGCTTAAATGTGCCCAAATCTGTGCTAGGTAGTTGGAGCACAGGGAAGTGGATATGAAGGTGCTGTCCGAGGGCTGAGGGGTTGGTGCTGTCTGTAGAACTTGAGTTCAGTCCCCAGAACTCATAAAAAGCTGGGCGTGGTAGCATGCACTTGTAAGCCTAGCACCAGAGAGACAAGCAGGCAATTCCCTAGGGCTCCCTGGGAAACCAGCCTAGCCTACCTGGCGAGTTTTAGGCCAGTAAGAGCCTGTCTTTTAAGCATGATGGGCAAGAGAGGCGGCTCAGCAGTTAAGAGCACTTACTGCTCTTACAGAGGACCCAGGATGGCTCACAACTACCTGTAATTCCAGTTCCAGGAGATCCAATACACACCTCCAGCTTCCATGGACGCCAGACACAAATGTGGTACATAGACAGACAGACAGACAAAACACCCATACACATAAAACAAATCTTTTCTAAAAGGTGGACAATGCCCGAACAATGACACTCAGAGTTGTTCTCTGGCGCGCACACACACACACACACACACACACACACACACACGCGTGAGCACCCACCATATGAGCAGTTGTGAGGTTGCTTTAACATAGCAAGAGGCCAAGATTACAAGTCCACTCACGCACCCAGAGGATGTGACTTCTTAAGTGGCAGGGTCATTTATGAGGAAGTATGTTTTTCTGGTTGTTAATGTAACGGCGTGTTTGAGGAAGGGCACCTACTGTATTATTCTGCCCTTCCTAGCGCCATCAAGACCACTCAAGCCAATCATTTGCTTGCTCTGTTAATGCCCCAAAAGTAAACAGGCCTGAAACACTACCAGAGGGGGTGCACACTGAAAGAGGCGAGTACCGCCGGATGCACACCTGGAGTCCCAGTTGCCTCCGAAGCCGGGGTGGGAGGATCACACATTAGAGACCAAGCCGGGCAAAACCCTGCAGAAGGCACAGAGGCCTTTGTGCTCTTGGATAAGCACTGGGGAAACCAGGAATGCTAAACACACGGGTTGTCTCCAAAGGGAGAGGTGCAGCATACTTTCCACCCGGAAGGCAGGAAGCTGAGGTCGCTAATAGCCTGGTAACCTCCGTCCTATCGGCATGGCCAGGCTGCTCAGACTGTTATCCAGAGCCTGTTTATTTCCGGCTCAGTTGCGCTCTCCTCTCCAGACCTTATCAGGAGCGTTGTTTACTTGAGCCTGCTTCCTTGCTTAATCTTGATGGAAGACGTCTTGTATTTTGTTGGAGCTGTGATATAATCATCTCCTAAGCTCTGTTGTGCACTTAGCATTGAGTTAATTATCCCCAGGAAACTTTTTTCCCCCCAAATTGCACTGCGTTTAAATAAGCCTAAAATAAACAAGCTGGTTTTAGAGTCTTGGAGTTTGAACCAACACTGGCTCCTGAGTCGTTGAACCAGACTTCTTAGCTTCTCTCAGATTGACCCCCTGCTGGCCACGGCATTTGCAGAGACCCCTCCCCAACAAGATGCCACCTCAAAAAAAAATCAATATCAAAATACACTGAGGGTAAACTGCATTAGTAGAAGGTGAGCCTAACGTGGAAGGAGGGAGAGGCACACAGAGGAAGTTAAGGGGGAAATTCCCTCTCCATTCAGATGTGGCTCAAGGCTCAACTCAGCAAACTCCCCTGGAGGGCAGTGGTGAACCTTCATGAGACTGCCAGAGGCTTCCAACACGGGCTGTCACCATCAAGACTCCTTTATCGGGATCTTATCCCATGAGCCTTCACCCACCCTTACTAGCAACCTCCCAGTCTATGGTTGTGGGAATCCAGGAGGCCTTAGGCCTGGAGCTCAGCCCCTTCAGCTGGTAACATGACGTGAGTGGATAAGTAGCCCCGGGCAACCTTCTGACTGGCTTGTGGCTTGTGAGGAGCTAGGCCTGCAGGGCACCATGTTCTCGCCTTTCCTGGTGAGGAAGCCTCCAGGCCTGACACACTACAGTCACAGGGCTCTAGGACTGCCTTCTGACCACTTGACAGTGCTTCTCTCTGGGGATGGGAAGGAACCATTCTGTGGAAATGAAAAGTCAGTGGCGTCAGGCAGTGGTGGTGCACACCTTTAATACAAGCACTTGCGTGGCAGAGGCAGGCCGATCTCAGTGAGTTTGAGGCCAACATGGTCTACAACAAAGCAAATTCTAGGACAGCGAGGGTTGTTACACAGATGTAGTAAGGGGGCAAGCAGGCCTACTTTTCATCCCACCCGGCTCCCAGATGGTTAGCTTTACACTTTGTGCTGAATGGGGTGCTGTTAATCAGATCTTTCATGGTGTAACCTGTGTGCCAGGTTCATCTCAGTCGGCAGTTGAGTGAAGTAATTTTTTGAGGGTGTTCACAGCAACCTTTCAGGAGGGCGTGGTCTATCATACCATATAGGGATAGAAGCAATCCACAGGGTCTCATCCTCTGTGAAAACAAAAGAAGAAACTCTTTTCCAAAGCATTGATATCCTTAGATCCAAATTCTGAAGTCAAGATACCTTTAGAACATATATGCAGGTTCAGCTTAGCAGCCCATTTAATGAAATGGTTTTTTTGTACTTAGCTCCTTCACAGTCAAAAGTTTTAAAGAAAACACACACACCCCCAAAAAAATATAATCCAGACCCTCTGTGAATTTTCCATTTTTATGTGGCTTATTTTTACTCTATCAGTTTACTTTATTCTGTCTCCTTAAAGACTTTACACTTTCGAAAAAAAAAAAAAGACTACCCTTTTTTTTTTAAGGCATTAACTTTATTCTCTATATTCTTTTTCTTCTCTCTCCGAAACCTAGGTACACTCATCCAACACTGTGACCCATTTAGAGGTCTTTTATGTCTGAATCTGTCCTATTGTATTGTCTGTTTTTGCTTTGTGCTTTTAAATCACTAAGCACTTAAGAATCTAAGCTGTGACATTCCTAGGTCACAAACAGGTACTGAGGGCTTGCCCCGCCCAGTCCAACATTGTGACTGAATCACTTGTGCCTCTGAGCTGTAGAGTGGTGGGCTGCTCTGGATGTTGGCTCCACCTCTCTCCAATTTCAGTTGGTAAATGTACCATTTCTGCTAGCTCTGGGGCCACCAAGTAGGAACTGTACTCAGCACTTTAACTCTGAGACTGAACATGCAGCACAGAAACTCTTTTCATCCAAGTTACAGTCAAATCTGCCATGCAGAGCACTGCACAGACTGGAAACAACTCTCTGTAGTGCAGCAGAAATCCGCCATGCTCTCCCGCTTGCCTAAGCCTGATCCCACCGTCTGCCCAGGCGGGGAGCACAGGCATGGATGGTCTCAGAGTACTTTCTTCCTGATCCCGAGTGAGAACACAAACATCCAGCCCACAAATGCTCCATAGCTGGAGTTTGCACCGGCAGCATAGCCCAGGAAGCTGTGTTTTAAAATGGCACAGCCTTTTTCCTGCTGAGGCTGCTGAGTCAGGAAAATTTCTCTGCAGCACACCCTAACAAACAGCAAAAAGCTGTGTTAAACTCTCTCACTCTCCTCTCTCTCTCTCTCTCTCTCTCTCTCTCTCTCTCTCTCTCTCTCTCTCTCTCTCTCTCTCTCCTTTTCAAGCCCTCTCAGGTTTTTAAGTAGATTTAGTCCATCATGTTGGAGCACACAGAGGAACCCTGTCTCCAAAAACAAAACAAAAAAGCAAAGTCTTTTGGGGTCACCATTTCACGGCCTTTGCTTTGTTTACGGAGGACCTGATAGGGCTGTCATTCACCATCTTCCTTTTGGTGTTTGCATCCTTGAGTGTGGAGAGTACACCTCATTACAGTGAACTAGTTCTTGGGGAACACATTCCAAGATGCTGTATATACGCCCGGGGCCAACGAATACCAGACAGTATGCACACTACTTTTCCTTTATGTGCATATCTGTGGCTTAATTTATGAATCGTATGCTTTAAAATATTAACAATAACTAATGAAATAGAATAGGATAAGATACACTAGCTAAGTTAAAATGACGAGTTGCTCACTTGTGGAGTTTTCCACCCCCGACCTACCCAGTGTCAGGGGGAGGTTGCCCTCCGCTGTCTCTACCTCATATTTTGAGACAGGGTCTCTCGGTGAACCTGGAATCTACCTTTCCCAGCTACACTAGCTGGCCACTGAGTTCCCAGAATCCACCTGTCCCTGCTTCCCAGCACTGCCACACAGCGCTGCTTATGTGGATTCCTGTGCCCACGCAGCAAACATTTTACTCAGTGAGCCTGCCCTTTTAAAAATGTTTTGAAACTTTGGTTTATTTATTGTGTGTGTGCGCACATGCATCCGTGTGTGCATTCAGGCATGTGGTACACTTGGGCCGGGGCGTGGGAGTCAGAGGAGCTTCTTGTGCCCATCAGCACTTATCGCTTTGTTTGGAACGATGTGTCTTTTGTTTTCCCTCTACTGTCTGGCAGACGAGGTGGCCCTCAGGCTTTTGGGATCCTCTGCCTCCATCCCTCTGTGGGAGTGTTGTGATTACAGACATGCTACCTGCCAGCCTCCCGAGGTACGCGCCACCATGCCCCACTCCCATTCGATACTTTTGAACTTGTTTATCACAGGTCCTGAAACTACAGAAAGCAAAACACAGATGAGCGGGCACAGAAGGCCTGCCTGGCCGATGGATGGCAGTGCTCATCATCCAAACAAGAGGTTTAGAAGGCCCCGCTTCTTCCCTTCTGCCACGTTTCCTCTCAGAGTTGCATCTCCACTCACTGTCCAAGGACAAGAACGACAACTTCTCGTGCTCCCAGGAGCTCAAAGTCCTGGAAGCCATTCCTGAAAACGCGCTTGCAAAAGCAGTTCCATCTCCACCTGGAGAGGGCGCCGGAGTGCGCTTTTTAAGGTGATTCCCAGGCTGAGCAGGTGTGTCAGCCATCGCCCTGCCCCACCACCTCCCCTCCACCCCGCTCCCCACTGCCCCACTACGCACACACTAGAGAGCAGTCCTACTGGTATTTACCTAGCATTCTAAGGTGTCAGCAATAGCTTCCCCTCAGGGGCTCTTCTGGGCTTCCGCAGGAGCACAGGTCCAGGCTGGGCACCATGGCGTCACGGGGCACCACGCCTTACTTTGTCAGAGCTCCAGAACAAGCAAATGTAGGTTGCTCATAGTCGTCCTCCATACACCAAAGTGGTTCCAAGATCCAGAAGTCTGGAGACAAGCATCGCCAAGAAACATGGACGCATCACTGAACTGCAAATCAGGAGCTTCAGCTCGGCAGTCACTCAAGTTAAAGAGACTTGGGACAATTATGTCATTTCAGAGAGCCTCAGTTTCTTCAGCAACAAGATGGAACCCAGGGCTGGGAGATTGGGAGAGATCAGTAGGTAAGCATTTTCTGTGCAAGCATAGGAGCCTGAGTTCAAGTCCCCAGAACCCACATAAAGTAGCACACAATCAAAGTGCTCCCTCAGGGAGGCAGAGACAGGAGCATCCCAGGGAGCCCTTGGGCCAGCCAGCCTAGAGTACACAGTGAAAACAAGAGGCTCTGTCCCAGACAAGGTGAAAGTTTACCATCTACAGTCATTCTCTGACCTCAACCTGTGCGGTGGCATCTGCACAGGAGCACACACACTCGCGCATGCGCACACACACACATACACACACACCACACCACACCACACCACACCACACCACACAAGGAGCCAAGGACCAGAGAGATAGATAGTAGCTTAGCAGTTAAAAGCACTCACTAGTCCTGCAGAGGACCTGAGTTTGATTCCCAGCACCCATGTCAGGGGGCTCACAACCACCTGTAATTCCAGATCCAGTGGGAGCAAATGTCTCTGTTCTCTCGGCATTTGTGCTCCCATGTTCACACACACACACAAACACACAAACACACTTACACATACATTCTAGCGGTGCTAGGGAAGTTAGCATCCCATAAAAGCCACAGAAGGGCAAAGAGAAGCCCCCAGGGGTGGCTGGGTTACTAAAGTCAGGTTAGAATATTGTAAATAGATGTCTTAAACAGCCGGATGATTATAGGTTCTTAAATTATAGGGACTGAAGTTGAGGGTGAGGCCAGAGAGGTCACCAATGAGGCAGGCTTTCCTAGAGCTTTGCCTTTGGGCTCTGGGTCAGGCGCGATAATCCGAATGGGACTGCACGAGACTTTGCCTTGCTACCCATGCGAGTGCACTTATGTGATTTCTGTGATTGTTCTTTTCGGCTGACGTTTTGGGACTGCAATGTGTGCAGATAACCGGACTCACGGAAGTGAGGAGTGGATGAGGAAGGGATTGCTCTGGGGTCTTTGCAGGTACAAAGGATATTTATTGAGGGACGATCAGCCTGGACACAAGGTGGGGCCTGGCTCAGTCACCAGAGAACTTGCAGGGAGAGACAGGACTACAAAGACCATGTGAAAATGGGCACAGATTGGAGTGGCATAGTGACAGGCGTCCGTAGTGAGAGCATGTGCTAACAGCTGCAGCTGGTTGCACGAGGGAGAACGCACCGGAAACTGAGTGGCAGTGTCCTCCACCCTGGCTGATCCCATGCCTGACAGCCACCGGCAGCTGGACACCGTGAACTGCAGACAGGTGGACCAGTGTGCTCCTAAACGAGTGTGTCTTCAGAGCTGGCCACAGAGCGGCACTGTGATGGTTTAATTGTCAATGGCACACAGTCTAGAGTCATGTGCAAAGACTCTAGACTGGGACGGCCTCTCTGAGGAGGTGTAACTTTATTATGTTAATTGAGCCATGTTAACTGCCCACTGTAGGTGGTGCCATTCCCTGGGCTGAGAGACTGGATTGCCCAGGGAAGTGAGGTGAGCGCAAGCATGCGTTCATCATTGCTCTTTACTGAGGATGCAATGAGACTGTCTGCTTCAAGTCCTGCTGCCTCAACTTCTTCTCATAACCTGTTACTGTGAGCCTAAAATCCCTCCTCCTCTAAGTGCTCCTGCCAGGCGCTGTTTGTTTGTTTGGGGTTTTTGTTTTTTCAAATTTAACTTTGTATCGATTCTTTGTGGATCATGCATTTCGAAGCCACTCATCTCCCTATCCCTTCCCATCTGCCCTCTGCCCTTGCAACCCCAACCCCTGCCAGGATAAAACAAGATAAAATTTAAAAGAAAGGGAAAGAAAACCCTGGTTGTGGAAGCTGCAGTGTGACACAGGGAGTCCCACAGTCCTTTCGTTCATGTGTTGTGACTCCCATTGTTCACTGCTTTGCCTCATTGTTCTGATCTGAGGTCTCTGGTTTTTGCTACATCATCAATGCTGGGCCCTCAGGGGGCTCCTGTTGGATATCCGGTAGTTGTCCTGTGTCATGGAGACCCTGTAACACTGTGTCTGCAGGACCAGCCCCTTCACCTGTTCCAGCGGATCACAGATGGGTTGGATGATGGGATGGGCCAACTCATGGCCCTGGTTCTGGGTCTGCATGGTTGCTGGGTTGGTTAGCCCATCAGCTTTCCCTCATCCTCAACACCAGGGTGAGCTCCCCAGTACTGCCCCAGCGATAGCTCACCCTATGTAGTAAGCAGCAAGGGTTGGGGTTGATTCTTCTGCTCTCGTGCCCTCAGGTTGGCTCATCCACACCTATACCATCAGGGCCAGCTAGCTCTCAAGTCTAACCGTGCTCAGGGGCAGCAAGCCAGATGTCTTCCAGTCACCAAGGTCGTTGTGTGTGTGTGTGGGGGGGGTGTGCTCACTCGCGTGTGCAGGGGTGTGTGTATGTATGTGTGGGTGTGTTGTGGACTGGCCCTTCCTTGCCCTCACCCTCACCCCACCCCCAGGGGTAAATGTGGCACTCAGTGAACCACAAAAACGGCCAGCGTTTGAGGAAGCAGGCCTTCAGGGCACACCACCAGGACTCAGATGTTTAGAAACCGGAAGGGCTCCTGTGGGCAGACTGAGTCATCTGGGAGCTCTGAGGAGACAAAGCATGTTTCAGCAGAAGGCCACAAGGAGTCTGGGGAGTTGCCAGAGACAGGGAGCTGAGTGGGGTCCAGAAGGGAAAGCCTTACTGCAGCTGCTCCAGGGTTGGTTTCTGATCAGTGGGATCCTTTTGTCCCTACCTTCCCTGAAATGAGATTACCAACACTCAAGGCCACACACAGATTTTTACCATGGGCTCCGGAGGATCCAGCTCGGGTCTTCAGGCTCACACAGCAAGGCGCTTTCCCTGCAGAGCCATCTCCCTAGCCCTATTTGGGACCATTTTATTATAAGATATTTCAAACACCCAGGAAAGTAGAATAGCTCCGCAGTGAGCAATCATGAGCTCACTCCGTGGAAGCCTATCTCAGCATTTTATCCTGAGAACTTTATCACACACCCAGCCCTTTATCTGTCCCAGTGCTCTGCCAGCAGGCTGAATACACCTGCCTACATTCCAAAGTAATACAGACACCAGTATCCTTCCCCATAATCTTAAGTGTGTACGTTAGTAATCAGTGCTTATATTTACATACATGTCTATTGTTTCTTTGGGACAAAATTTAGGTACAACATGTTGAAGGCTTGGTCAGCACGTGCTCTAGTAGGAGCCAGAGGAGCCTTAGGAATGTGGGGCCTCATGGGAGAATATCCGGCCATCTGGGGATATGCCTCTGGAGAGGCTAGCGCCATCCCAGCTCCTTCTCTCCGCCCTCCCCCTTCCTCTTTTTCCTTCCCCTTCCCTTTTCTCTTCTGCTGTCTTTCCTCTCCTCTACTCTGATGAGGCAAGAGCGAAACAGGACCATGAATGGAACTGAAACTGTGAGCCAAAGTCCCTCTGGTTGTGCCAGCAGAGGAAAAGAGAAAACAAGAACCAGAAGGAAATGACTTTTGTCTGCTTTTACAAAAACAAAAACCTTTAAGGAAGCATTGGAGCACCCTCTGGAGGTCAAAGGAAGAAAAACACTACTATCTAATGGTTTCCGCCAGGTACAACAAGCTTGCTCAAATTCCTGCAGCCAGGCTAAAGAGCAGAACCTCTTCTTTTGCTATCTCGAAAAGGTACTATGAAAACAGATTCTTGCTGAGTCCTGAGTGCTTCAGGCAGATCTTAATCTGAGACTCCACCACCTGCCTGACGAGACACATCAGGGCCCTGCTCCTCCGGTTCACCTCTTCCTGCTCCACCAAAACACTGCTTTCTTAAGGACTGTTCTCAGCTCCCCATCACTCCATAGATGCCCCTCCTATCGTACACACCCCCACGGACACTTTTATGTCACTGAGCTCTATCTAAATATCAAAGTGCAACACAGAGGACTTCTCCCTCTTAAAGAACGAGTCAGCTTGAGGCCCTTGGAGACGACGGCCTACCTTCCCTAGTCCTGCATGTGTCCTCAGACATCAGCTACGAGAATCCCTAAGAAATAGAAGGCGAACAGATGGGTGGGTGGGTGGGTGGATGACTATCAAAATTCCATCTCCTTGACTTCTTCAGTTCTGTCCCCTTCAAAGGACACATGCTCCCGATCTAAGAACCCAGCACAGTGATGTGGATTGTCTGTCCTTCGCAAAGCCCCAGATTCAGTCCCTAACGCTGTATCAAGTGCAGCAGGGCAAACTGGCAGTCCCAGGACGCGGGAAGGGAAGGCAGGAGAACCAAAAGTTCAATATCATCCTCACTTAGACGGTGAGTCCAAGGTCGAGGCCCCCCTCAAAAGATGAAAGTATCATATAAAAATATGGCTATATCTTATCATCAAACATCACAGTTAAGCATCTAGTACACTAGCGGACTGTCTGTATGTACAATAATGACGACATAGTTGATTGCAGGGTTACGGTGCCCAGCTCTAAGAATGAAGATCATCACATATAGCCAGGTAAAAATCAGATTCCGAAAGTGGAAGTGTGGGTTCTACTGAATAATTTCTTGAAATTTCAATGTGCTAGTCCAGGAATCAGAAACTAGAGTGCACTGCCTGCTTTTATAAATAAAGCTTTATTAACACATAGACACACTCACACATACCCCTAACACCACATAAACTGAACAGGGGGGCGTATGATACCTGTACTCCCAGCACTAGGGAGGTGGAGGCAGCAGGATCAGAAGTCTCAGGTTTAGAGTATAGTTTGTTCATAGAACACTTGCATGCAGTCCTAGGGTTCCATCAGCAGCACCAAGGAAAGAAAGAATGGACACTTGGAAGAATAAGGGCAAAATATCATTGAGCACCAGAGCATAAAAAGAATACA